ACATGGTGCTAGCATGTGTTTTCTCTGTGTTTTCCAGCGCATCACAATTAAGCAAACACTTGCAGTAATCTATTCACGGGGATATACAAGGGAAAAGAGTGGCCTTGTGCTCTTCTTTGCTGCTAAGCGATAAAAAAGTCAAAGGGTTTGGGCTCTTTGTATTTGTCCCTAAAAGTTTATTTTTTTTTCCCTCCATGCTTTTCCTCTGTGTGCAATACATTTCAGATTTTGTGCAGCCAGGTTTGGGTGGAGGACTCTGAGGAAGGCTGGCTATTTAGAGGGATTAGAGGTTTTCAAGAATCTAGACTACAGAAGTAAAAGAGTAAGTGAATTTGTTTTCTTTGCTTATTTAAATTGCCCACGGGGAAAATCTTCAGCTTCAACCCACGTGATCCATTTTCTTGACATCGAGGTCAGTTTTCTGATTTCATCATCCCTTTAAGATGACTGCAGAGTGAAAGGTAAGTAGAAAAAAGGTGAGCTGTTCTGTAAATTCCTTTCTTATGCGCAGGTACTGGCTGCATCTCTTCTAAACTCCTTTGGTATGTCTTCAGAACCAACTTTTAAAGTTTAATTGGTGTAGCTGTTTGGATTTTAAACCTGAAGCGTGTGTGTAGGGGTGGATAATTTAAAAACAACAGTTGCTGAGTACCAGGCTGCAGAACCCTCCAAGATGAGATGGAAAAGACCCCTTGTTCTGGTGCCCATCTCTATCAGTGGAGAAACCTTCCCCAAACCATCACCTCAGCAGTTGTGTCCTTAAAACATGGTGCATTATTTAAGGGATCGTGTAGTCTGCATATGCCCTGAAAGCAGAGGAAAGGGTAAAGAGAGCATCTAATGACATGTTTTTTACAGCACAAATATAGCCTGGTGACAATGCCTGCTCCTTCTCCCGAAAGGGCAAAAGGAATGGCAGGCTTGTATTGAAGGAATCGTGTCAGCTGCAGCCTGAATTGCGCTGAGCAATGTTTTTTTCAGCTCATTTCTGTGCTTGTATTTGAAATATTTGCTTTTCTGCTGGTTTTGCCTATGGGATTCTTTCTTTTTGTGGTACTGGAGCTTTTATTCTTCTTGTAGTATAAGCAATTAGCTGTAGGAATGTACAACCCATCACAGCTTTAGTTTTTAAAGTATGAATGACGCGCATCGTGCCAAAAGCTGTTTTTCTTCCTGCTTTCAGTAAAGAGCATAACTCAATATATGTATCCTGATTTCACATTCAGCATTGTGGTGTCCTGATTTTATTTTTTAATGTGGAGTCTGCTTCCTGCTCTAACGACCTGAGCACAATTACACACACGGTCTAGCAACAACTTCCTTTGGAGCAGTGCTCTGGCTGACAGCAGCGGAGCCGATGCCACTGCTGCTCCCGCTGGATGGAAAATGGAGGGAATGAAAAAAATAAAGCAGAATATCCCTCTGGTGAGGAGCGATTGCACCACTGCAGGCAACATGTCACAGCTCCAGGAGGTCCGTCAGGATCACTGGGCAGAGATGCAGAGTCCTGGGGCTGATCCCCCCCCCTTTTCCCTGGCAGAGGCTGGCGAGGGACCGTTACCTCTTCCCATAAGTGAGGATGAGGAGCCCGAGGTGCAGAGGAATGCCCAGGGAAGGCAGCAGCCCTGCCGTGGGCACACTTTCTCCTCTCCTCCTGCACAAGCGGGGGCAGGCCGAGGGCAGCCGACGGCTCATCCCCGTCACCCCCCCCCCGGCTGCTTTTTGCTGTCGCCGGGGGCCGAGGGATGCTCCCGGTGCCGGAGGGGCTCCGGCTGCCCCTGTGGTGCTGGGGGGGGTGCCCAGAGCCGCGCTGCGCACCCGGGGAGGGATTGGGGTGGAAGGGGGGGAGGTTAAAACCGCTGCCAGCTCCCGGGGGGGCCCCGGGGCACCGCTCGGATCAGGCGGTGGAGCCCGGAGCCTTCGGGCGGCCGCTGCCCTCCCTCGGGGGGGAGCAAAGGGCGAGGAAGAGGCTGCTGCCGGTCAGGGAAGCTCCCACGGGGAATGCCTCCCTGCCCCCCCCCCCCAGGGGGAGGACAGGGGAGGGGAAACAGCAGAACGGCGCAAAACCGCCCCAAAATATCCCGGCGGCGGCGCGGCCCGGGGGGAGCCGGCCTGCAGGGCGAGGACCGCGAATATAGGGCGAATATGCGATGGGGGAGACCCCAAAAAAATCCTCGCGGGGCTGGGGGAGGCTCTGCTCCCCTCTCCAGGGGGCTTTGGGCGGTGGGGTCCTGTCCCTGGCAGCCCCGCGGGGTGATGGGGGGGAAAGAGGGGGACACACACACGACATGGGACACACGACAAACGACACACGACATAGAACACACTACACCTTCTTGCCCCCCCACCCCCGGACCCGGTGTGGAAGTTACAGGAAAGTCTCCGGGGGCCGGGGCAGCGGCTCCCTTTGTAAAGCTCTGCAGGAGCCGAGGCGACAATCCGGACAGGTTGCTGCAGCCTCATTAGGGATCCAGATATGCATGCGTTTAAATAATTTTTTTTTTTAGAGGAAGAGGGATGGAGCTAATTAGCATCCCCACGCTCTCCTGTAATTGCTGCCAAATAGGAAAACTACTGAAAGCGACAGGGGCTCAGCAGCGGGCTCTGGCTCCCCTCCCTAGAGCGCGTTCACACCTGGGGTGCTTTATGGGCCCCCACGGGACCGTGCAGCCTCGTAAAAGGAGAGGTGTGCGGGAGCAGGCAGCCTCCGGGATGTAAGAAGCCCCTTCTTCTCGGAAATAGGCGATGCCTGCAAAACACGGGCACTTATTTTTGTTTATTTGTATTTTTTTGAGCCGCCACCTGCCAGGAGCCACCTCCCTGGCTGCTCCTCGGCTCCCAGTGCCCCGGGGAGGCCGCTGCAACCCCGGGCTCAGCAACAACGCAGGGGATTCATTTCGGGGAGGGGGCGCTCACAAAGCATTATTTCCTCTCCTATCCCCCAAAAAAGGGCCTGAGCTGCCCGGCTGGGGGCCGTTTGCTGGCGTTGCCGCAGAGCATCCTTCGACGGCAGCACCGGGGGTGCGGGGAGAGCCCCTGTACCCCCAGGCGCTGCGAGGGGAGCCGGAGGAGGGAGTAATGTCTGGGAAAGTTTGTAGCGCCTTTCCCCGCTTTTAGCTCCTCGTCTGCTTTCTTGGTTTGTTTTCGAGGAAGCCAAGTGGTTATTTCGGGCGCCTTGTTTAGATAATTTCTTCTAACCCCCTCATCCTCTTCCACTCCTCTATTTATATGTATTTGATATATGTGTGTAAACAAATAAGGAGAAACTGGATTCATCGGCGCGCTCCTGGCCACCAAAATAAACAAAACGGAGGTGTTCAGACCTTGAAAATGCTCAGGAATGAGAAAATCAGCGCGACGTTTCCGAGCAGAAGGAAAATCCGAGGTTCCGACAAAAATCTCCGACGTTGTTACACACAGTGCGGGACGGCTCTGGGAGGAGGAGAGCTGATCTTCCCAAACCTGGGAAGCTCGACGGCCCCCTTCTTCGTTTCTGTTTAAATCCATCTTGTCCCTTTAATACAAATGAACTTTAAGCTCCCCCTGTCTTTTATTATTTAGATTCCTAGTCTTAATGACGCCAGGAGCAGCGCGAGCACACTCGCTAATAATCGTCGCGAACTGCATTTCAAAGAAACATCCCTGGAAGAAAAACACCGTCGTTAAAAAAATAAATAGAGACTCCACCAAAAATGATAATGCGGAGTCCCTGCTGATGATGGGCTTAATGCGAGGGCTGCAAATCAGCACCTGCGTGCTAGATAAGGCAGATAACACCTCCAACAGTTACTTGCAGCACCCCCGTCCTCCTCGCTTTATTTTTAGATCGTTCATTTAGTCGGAGGGAGATGGGTAGGTGGTTTTTTTTTCGTCTTTTTTTTTTTTTTTTAATATTGTTGTTATTATTATTTTCTTCTGCGATGCTCAGGAAAAAAAAAAGGAGGGGGGGTGATGTAGTTTGAGGGGTGAGCCGTGACTCTGCTCGGGCCTTTACCAGCAGCTCCCCGGGCACACAGATAGCCGACATCTCCGCAGCCAGCCCCGGCCAGGGTCAGCCTTTGTCCCTGTCACAATAAACAAACACTTGCTCCTCTCATGTAAATGAGCAGCGATCCGGATGCACCTTAAAACACTGGGAGAAGTCGTTGCTTTTGCAAACGATGTTCATTTTGTCTGACACACAGAAGCGCGCAGATCAAATGGCTGCGGAAAGGTGGCAATTTGGCAGGGCAGCATTTGGGGAGCACAGATGAAAGCGTGCTTCCAGCTCCCCAAAACCCAGCTCGCCTCCCACCTGGCTCCCCAGCTCCGAGTTGTGGCGAGAAGTTCGGGCAGGGAGGTTTTCGTTAAGGGCTGAAATAACAACGAGGGGAGAGCAGCGCCGCGATTCGCACCGCCTCGCATCGGGGACGCTGAATCAGGGCTGCTTTACCTACGAGGGATCCAAGGCAGCTGCAATAATCTCGCCGGCTAATTAAGGAAATTATACCTTAAACATCGGTAGCTTACAAGTTGTAATCAGTAAGTCAAAACTCTTGACAATTATGCAAATTGCGCTCTGACTGGCGCTCGGACGCTCCGGCGAGGAACTTTTCCCGATTTATTTCGCCCAGCAGCCGCCGGCCCCGTAGCACTTTTTGGGGTCCGGGCGCTGCAGCTCCCCGCGTGGATCGCAACAAATCCCTTCCACGCGTGTGCGTGGAGAAAAAATAAATCCACACCCATTACACCTCCCCACAGAAAAAACAAATACAAATAAAAAATAATAATAATAAAAAAAGAAGCGTGGGGGCACTTCGGGGGGCGGCCCCGCTGCTGCGGGGGGTGCCCACGCGTGCCCCCAGCCCCGCGCGTCCCCCGCGGGGGCGCAGCGCGGCGCGGAAGGAGGGGCCGGGGGCTGCGCGCTCCCTCCTGAGTGGCTGGCGGCCGCGGGTGCCGAGCCATCCCTGGGGAGGAGTTATGATAATCTATTGCCATTAAGGGCGTCTGGGCAGGGAAAAAAACCCGAGTGACCATTAGAGCGGCGGGTTAGTCCGTCGGCAGCCTCCATGCCTGCCAACAACTGAGCTCCGTCCGGGGGGCAGCTCCTCTTCCCCAGCGCCGACGTGGATTTACCGCCCGTGGGGGGGGGCTGAGCTTCTCGGCTGCTTTTTTTTTTTTTTTTTTTTTTTTTTTCGGCACCGCACACCTGGGTTGGAGGCTGGACGCCATGTTGTGGAAACTAGCAGATAATGTCAAGTATGAAGAGGATTGCGAGGTGAGAAGAGCGGCGAGGGGGGCGGGTGGGCAACGTGGGGGGGGCGGTGGGGGCAGCCCCGAGCCCCCCGGCCGCTGCGCGCCCCCTGCTCGCCTCCAGCCGAGATTCCTCCATTCCCCGAGCCTCTGCTTTGCTTTTCTTTGCTTTACTTATTTTTTTTAAACCATTTTTCCCCTCGAATCCTGGGGAAAAAGGGGAAAAACCCCGGCATCCCCAGCCGGGAGGAAGGAGCCTGTCCTTCCCCGCACGCACACTGCCGCGCCTGCAGGCGCAGGGCTGCGCCCCGTGGAGCGAGTCGGAAAAGTAAAAGTTGGGCAAGTGGGGAGCCCCGGGCAGAAGCGGGGGTGCCCGTGTAAAAGGGGGGAGCCCCAGCAGAAGGGGGGAGCCCCGGCTGAACCGGGGAGTCCCCTCGGGGCAGCAGGGGCAGGTAGGAGCCGAGGCAGGGCTGCAGCCGTCCAGAGCCGCCCTCCCCACGTTTCTATCCGCGGTGGGAGCGGCTCCTGTAGGGTTTGCTCTCGGGTTTTGGGCTCTGACACGGCCGTGCCCCCCCGCCCTCGGCTCCGGCAGGCGAGCTGTAGGTCCCGTTTCACGCCCCGCTGGGACCCCGTTCGCCTCTCATCACCCAGCGGTGGTGTTTTACCGACCAGAAGCCGCTGGACCCCAGGATCGGGTCCGTGTGGACGTTTAATGTGTGCCTGCCGGGCTTTGGGGCGAGGGGAGGAGCGGGGCCGTCGGGCGTGGGGGGGCCCTGCCCGGGGCTCGGAGCCGCCACCCCATGGGGGCAGCGTGGGGCTGGCTAAACCGGGCCCCGCCGCTGACTGGGATTATTATTATTTTTTTTAATGATTCTTTGGAGAAGTTGTGAGTGCCTCGTGGTGAGGACAGCCGTGGGAACTGGTCCCTAACCCCTTCCCCGCGAGCCGGGCTCATTTCCTACGCGAACTGCATGGGGAGGAAAAAAAAAAAAAAAAAAAGGAAGAGCCCCCGGTTAGGAGCGGGGCGGCTTTCCCTGTGCCCCCCGGGACCCGGCAGCCCTCACCCCTCACTGACCGCCGCCTCCCTTCTCCCCCTCCCCGTCTGCCTTCCAGGACCGCCACGATGGCAGCAGCAACGGCAACCCGCGGCTCCCGCACCTCTCGGCGGTCAGCCAGCACCTGTACAGCCCGGCCCCGCCGCTCTCCCACTCGGGAGCCTCCGATTTCCAGCCCCCCTACTTCCCCCCACCCTACCAGCCTCTGCCTTACTCGCAGTCCAGCGACCCCTACTCCCACCTCGGGGACCCTTTTTCCATCAACCCCCTGCACCAGCCGCCGCCGCCGCCCCCCAGCCAGCAGCAGGGCGCTTGGCCCCCCCGGCAGGGCCAGGAGCCGGCCGGCCTCGCCCCCCACGGTCGCCCCGGCCTCGTCCCGCACCTCTCGGCCCTGGAGAGCGGCTCGGCCGGGGGCCGTCGAGAAACCTACCGCCGCTCCGAGCTGCTGCTGCCCCACGGCCACGGCCTCGACGCCTCCGCCCTGGCCGACAACCTGGGCCTCCACGACATGGCCCATCAGATGGAGGAGGTGCAGGTAAGCCTCGTGTCCCCCCCTTCTCTATCCTCAGCTGCCGGAGCCTTATCCCCCCCCCACCCGTCCTGCTGGCCCCAAACTCATGCCCTGCACCTCGGGGTGCCTCTCATCCGGCCCCAAACCCTGTGCCCCCCCCCCGCCCTGTAGCTCCCGAGGTGTGTGCAACTTTCTCCCCTTTCTCTTTGCAGAACGTGGAGGACCAACACTTGTTAATGCATGACCAGACGGTCATTAGGAAAGGTCAGTGAGGGGCCCTGCGCCGCCCCCTCGGGTTATGGGGGGGTCCCCGCGGGGATCGGGGCGGCCGAGGCTTGGGGCAGCCCCGGGGGGGGTCCCGGCCCCTCTGTCGCGGCCACCGCAGCGTGCCCGTGGGCTCTGGGTGAGCAGCACCCGTGGGGGTCCTTTTTTTTTCCTTTTTTTTTGCTCTTTAACTTCTTCCCCAGCCTCGGGAAGGGACTCGGTCGGTGTGAGGCTGCTCGGATAACCCGTAACCGGAGCGGTTTTGTGGCCGGGGTCCCGAGGAGGAAGGGCGTATTGACTCAATTTAGGCACACGGTCGTTGTAGGGTTGGGTTGCTTTTTTTTTTTTTTCTTTTGCTTTTGTTTTTAAACAAATTCGTGCTTTGAAAAAAAAAAAAAAATCAGTGGAAGTTTCCTCCGAAGACTTCAAACAAAAACCTAACTGAGGAAAAGCAGAAGTGTTTGGCAGAGCGCTGATTGCTGCGTTTAGCTCATGGGAGAATTATTCCGCTGTCAGATGCGGCACCAAAGCCCTTGCCCCCTCCAGGGACCAAGGCAAACCTCGGCTCTTTTTAACCCTTTCCCACCGGCGCCAGCAGCCCCCGGCTGGGGCTCAGCGGGTGGGCGATGGAGGAGCGGGACGGGTGCGGGACGGGTGCGTGGCTGTGCCCCTGCCCAGCCTCTGCCGGCCCTATGCACCCAGCCCCTGAAGCCGTTCCCCAGCGGGGGTTTGCTTTCAGTTCTTCAGCCCTGTTGTGCTGTCTGGTACGAATTTGCCGGGATTAAATTCCGCAGGCGCCTTCTGCGAGGTGGAAGGGGAGAGCCCGGCAGTAGCTGGGAGGCTTCTCCTGCCCCGGCTCAGGAGGCTGCTGCCAGCAGCCGAAGGATGCGGGTTTGTCTGCAGCTCTGCCGGGCTTTTTGTAGGACTGGACCCGCTAAATTGCATACCACATTTTTTTTATTATTGTTTTTTTGGGGTGCCCTGTTTATTTTTTTTCCGGTTTTGTTTTGAGAAGTATATTTAGTTGTGTTCAGCAGCTCCTTGGACTGGGAGTGTGGAGAGGACTGCTGGTGTTCGGGACTGGGTTGTGGGGAGTGTTTAGTGCCAAACGAAATCCCATCTCCCGGTCTGTCCTCGTGCAAAGAAAATTCACTTGCTACTCCGTATTTATTTTTCCCTTCCCTAAAAATCCTGCTTTCCCTCCTGCAGGTCCCATTTCCTTAACGAAAAACAGTGCTCTGAGTCTCCCCTGCCAAAAGGATGGATTAATCGGAATGGTCATAAACCCCAACGAAGTGTTCTGTTCGGTTCCGGGGAGGCTCTCCCTCCTCAGCTCCACGTCCAAATACAAAGTGACAGTAGCAGAGGTTCAGAGACGGCTCTCGCCCCCGGAGTGTCTCAACGCCTCTCTGCTAGGAGGAGTGCTCAGAAGGTAGGCTGCGACCCCTGCTCCCAGCCGGCCGCACCGGGGCTGTTGTTCGCGATCCTTTTTTTTTTTTTTCCTCCCCCTGCGCCTGGTGTGTGTGGTTGCAGCCAGATTAGCACAATGACGAGCTAAGAAAAAGCCTTTTATCAAACTTCAGATTTTTCAGAAGCCCAACAACACTGAATCCTAATTGGCTTTGGAAATAAAACTTCTTTGCACTTCTGCCACTTCTCGGGGAGAAGTGCTATTAACAGCTCTGACAGCAATTCTCATTCGCTGTTGAAAATCGGATTTTTGTCTCTTAAAACTGCTCGTGGAGCTTTCTTGTTCCTGTGACGAACTGTCTCCCCATGGAATGATTTTTGGATTAAATCTCGTGATCTTGTTGCATCATTACAAGGAGACTTTGTGTGTACTTTTTTTTGCACACACTTTTAATTTGGTTTGTGATCATTCTACAGCTGCGGGTTTTGGTGGTGCAGTCTGAAACATTTTGATTTTGACCTCTGCTGTGTTTCATCCTGGCTGGTTTGTAGTAAAGCATTTTAAAACTAGGTCACTTGAAAAGAGAGCCTGTCTTTTATCTTACCCCCAGTAGAACCCTATTGAATGTCAGTAACTGGAATTTCTCATCTTTTTTTTTTTTTTTTCCTTTTTAAACAAAACAAAAAAAGTCCCCTGAAGATAAATAAAGCTTTTTTTTTCTTTTTTTTTTTTTCCCTAATTACAGAGCCAAATCTAAAAATGGTGGCAGATCATTAAGGGAAAAACTGGATAAAATTGGCTTGAACCTTCCAGCTGGTAGAAGGAAAGCTGCAAATGTGACACTATTGACATCTTTGGTGGAAGGTCAGTCTTGAACGTGTCTTAAAAATAAACTTCCTTTCCCTTGTGTACAGCTTTTGTTCTCCAGGCAAAGCGTGGAAGGGCTGGGAAGTCAATGAACTCGATCGAGGGGGTTCTGTGTGTTTATAGTTAACAGTGAGCGTGCTGGGGACAGGGCAGCAGGTACCCGACAAGGTGCCTTTGGGGGGGCTCCTCGCCCCCCTGCCGTCGGTCAGGTCTCCCAGTTGTGCTGAGTACCAGCCACAGGCCGGGATGCAATCAATCCCTCCTGGGCACTGGGCTCTGTGAAACGGTTGTCCAGTCTGTTTCCTGAGGTTGTCTGGGGTTTTGTGAAGGGAAGGTGAAAGGGGTGAAACCCGGCACATCGCGGGGTTTGGTTCCCTACTGGGAAACCTGAAGTCCATGGCAGCTGCCTGCGATGCCTGGCCTTACCTCCGCGGTATCCTCAGAAGCTTTTCTCATAAACAAGCATATAAAGTGAGATTTATAGCTTTTGACTTCCTGATGGGAAACTGGAGCCCCTTTAATCTGTAACATGCTGTGTGGACCCTCTCAGTTAAGCTGACGGCAGGGTGTATTTACGTGGCTGTGTGGGGTTATGTTTTGTGCTGCTGTTGAAAGCAGCTCCTGGTCGTGGTACAACTTAATAGGAGTAGAAGCAGCAATTGAAACATGACAAATGATCCAATGATACCTTGCTGCTATTTCATTTCTGCATGAGCTGAAATAATACGGCAACTTCCATTTAAAACCGTATTTTGGAAGTTGGATTTAAGAGCTGCCCGAGAGGCTATGTGCGTGCGCACGCACACGTGTGTGTTACAGGTACAGCCTGATGATGTCAGCCCAGTGTTTCTGTGCATGATGGAATTGCCTTAATGAAAAAAGCTGTGTAGTTATAAACCTTCCAGTTGTATTTTTATATGAACATTGTTGTTTTAAAGGAGCTAGAAAATGTACTAAAAATCATTACATGGGTGGAATTTAGTTGCAAGGTTTTTTTTAAATATCAGTGGGAAATTTGTTATAGGCTAAATTCTAGTCCTTGCTAAGCAGTGAATCTGCATAGAAACAAAAGAAAAGCTTTTTCCAGTAAAGGGAAGGGAATTCTTTTTCATAGCTGTCATCATGTAGTGTTGTTTTTTTTTTTTTCTTGATGCAAATTTACCAAGAAACACTGATCTATTGATTAGAAAATGGTAATGAATGGTATGGTAGAAAATAAGTGTCCCTTCCTAAAACAGTAAATTCTTGAAGTGTATTCCTCTGCTTTGCTTAATTTCCCCGATCTCCTTATAATAAATAAGCACTGCAACATTTAATAACTATTCCCCTCTGCCCACGCCAGGTGAAGCTGTACATCTTGCCCGTGACTTCGGTTATGTATGCGAGACAGAGTTTCCTTCCAAAGCAGTGGCCGAATATTTAACTAGACCACACATGGGCCGCAACGAAATGGCGAACAGGAAGAATATGCTTCTTGCTGCAAAGTAAGTTTTCTGGCTTTGCATTTTTTTCCCTCTTTTTTTTAAAGGTGGTTTTGTCTGACCATGAGTATCTGTGGTTGTGGACAGTTTGCTACATTTTCATGTGTAATTTTAATCAGGGAGAGGAAACAATTCTTGCTTGGTTTTGGTTTGAATTCAACTATGACAGTAGTTATTTTAGTCTGAACCAATAATAATAATAACCCTGTATGGTAATTCTAAAGCAGTTTGGACCACTTTTTTTTTGTTTTGTTTGTTTTTCTTTAAAACGGTAGTAAAAAAAAAAAAAGAATCTGAGCCTTTTACCAGGGTAGCTGTATCTCTAGGAAAAAGATGTCCCTAGGGTGAGACAGGGCTGAGGACCTGGGGGCCAGGTGTGGCAGGGGAGTGTGAACTGGGACGGGACTGGGAGCTGGTGGCTACCCTGCCTGCGTGTGTGCAGCCCAGAGAGGCAGGGGCACGTGCAGCTCCGTGGGGAGTTACTGGTGGGCACAGCGGGTGCAAGGCAAGCTTGCCCACTGAGTCCTTGTAGCTGCTTTTTTTGGCAACAGCATTCCCCTGTGGGACTCTAGGGATCAAAGTGTGAGTAGTCCCATTTTGGTATCAAAGCTGAAGATCTTTAGTTCAGTGAAAGGCAATGTTTAGTAGATGGGAGAAGTCCCTGTTCTTAACGAAATTCTTACTGTAAATCCTGGTGAACAGGGGAGGGAAGGCTAAAGGAGAAGCTTTGTTAGAGCTGTTCTGCAGACACTGTACCTGTAAACAGAGCATGTACTGAACGGGTCCCTGGTAGGAAATACCTGTGTTCAGCTGTGCTTATCTTACACCAGTGGCTGGAGAGCTCGCTGTCCCCTTCCCACACTGACGTTTAACCAAAGGCCTTAGATTATGATCCATCCTGGTCTGAGATGTTTTCTGGTTTGGGTTGGTATAGTTTCTTCCTTTGAAAGCACCGTCACTGTGCAGAGGATCCGAGAAAAGCCTGGTTAAACTGATGAGAAGAGTTGTTTTGACTTTATGCTTGGATTAGGCAAGCAAAATCCTGCCCTGTGCAGGGGTTCCACATTCCTCCTGGTGCTGAATTAATCCATCTTTCCCTGAAAAAAGAGACCTCCTTTATCAGGACTGTATTTCGTAGTAATATATTTCTGTCATAGCTTGAACCTTTTGCTTCTTACTGAGCATGAGCCCTTTGGCTCTTTAGAATTGTTATTGGTATTGTTATTAACCCTAATAGCAGGCATCTTTTCGAAGATGTTTGCGATTTGAGAAATTCTGATAAAGTGATGGTTCTGTTAGGATTGCTCATCTCAAGTGAAATCACATCAAGGAGACAGATTTACAAGCAGCAAACAACATATGCTGGAGCGTTATTAACCATTCGTGTTTTGCCAGGCATATGTGTTCGTGTTTGCAGGATCAGGGCCTAGGTCTCTATGAGAGAGGGGATGTACGTACACCATGCACAACTAGATCGAATCTCCTCTTCATCTGCTTTAGTCTCTCTAAATCACATACCTACAGCTGTGGAAGTTCTCACAGAAACTAGCCCCTACATCCCAGCCCTGCCTGAAAATCTAGAGCAAATGATGTCAAGCCAGACAGCAGAGGTGGAGAGATTATTCTGCAGTGTGGGGATGTGTTTGTGTGACACAGATAAAACAGAAGGTTTGTCAGATGCTAATGCTAATAAATGAGCTTTAATTTTGGACTGTGAATGCTGCTGTCTTGCTGTTGATGGAGTAATGAATTTCTGAAAACTTTTAATTCCCACATAACAGCCAAATAGCTGACGTGGATTTTTTTTTTCCATTATTTTTATTTATTTGCTTGTGCACAAATTCCTACCATGGTATAAAGTGAGATCACTTTGTGTCTTACAGGCAGATTTGTAAGGAATTCACAGACCTCCTCACTCAGGACAGAACTCCTCTTGGAAACACGAGACCTAGTCCCATCTTGGACCCTGGCATCCAGGGCTGTTTGACTCATTTTAGCCTGATCACACATGGCTTTGGGAGTGCTGCCATCTGTGCTGCCATGACGTCCGTCCAGAACTACCTAAATGAAGCATTAAAAATAGCAGACAAAACATACATGAACGCTGGCGACCAGAGCCCTGCAGAAACCAACAAAACCATCGATAAAATGGATAAGCACAGGAAATAAAAGGAGAGAAACCAGACTTTAAACTCTTCCTCCTTAACACAGACTGGGATCTTCTTGCCGGGGGAACGTAGAAATTTGGGTACTTTTTTTTTTTTTTTAATAAGAAAGGGAAAACGAGGAAAAAAAATCATCTTATTCAGGATCTTCACTCCTCCTGGATCCATGAGACAAGTCTTTCTAAAAGCTGCAGTATCCCTTATCTGTGGAAGCAATTACCAGAAGATAAGTACTTGGTACAGGTGTATTGACATCCTTTGCTGTAAAAGTGGTGCTATAAGGGTTTGGATGGAAATATGCAAAAAGATATATTTAGATTTCTTTTCCACATCTAAGTATTTAGAGGTGACCAGCTTCGTGTATAGCTTTTAAGATACGGATTTTAGATGGAAGTCTATTTGTTATCAGATAAAAATATCAGGGTTTTAAGTCTCTCTTAATGCAACAGTAACAATAAAGCAGTATTAAATAATGGTATATAGATTTATGTACATTAAAATTTTTTATAAACACCTGGAAATAGTAAGATTATTCATTTTCTTTTTTTTTTTTTTTTTTTTCTCCCTTTACTTGCAGATTACCATAGGAGAGTACTAAAACCCTGGTAAACGTAAAATTATCTGATGGCATTTGACATGCTTATTTTTATGGAAATATTCAGGCTTTTAAAAACTGCAGTAATGTTGGCTGCAGTTGGTATTATCTTGGTATTTTTTTAACAAGGAGTAGACGAAAATGAAAACGCTTTTAGAAAATTCACTTTCTGTGTTTAAGGATATTGCAGCTTTATTGACATATTTATATTGTCTTGTTTTTAAATTGGGGGGGAAACTTGAAAGAATAGGCACATAACTTTTTTTTTTGAACTTTTTTTTTTGCCTATTAAGGCCAAAAATATTTCCAGGGAGGCTTTATGCGTACTAAGGGAAGCAGTGTGTTGAATGTAAATATTTATTTATGTGTAATTTAATCGGATTTGTAAATAATGGTGAACTTTTTAATACTTTTTTTTTTTTTATAAATGGGTTTCAAATTTTAATTTTGGTAAGTATTTCAAAGGTAATGGGTAAGCTAAACATATCTTTAGGTTTATGCACAGGTATGTTATACAGGGTATTTAAGACTTGTTTTTTAAAAAATATCTCAATTCTTGCCACTGAAGATTAAATCTAATCTGAGGTGTATGTTCACAAAGCAATAATTTTGTGCATCATTCACCTGATAACTGACTAGACATGCAAAATGAGTGTGTGAGTTAGTGTGTATGTGAATAATGGAGGTTCTGAACTATCTTTACATATTTGTAAATGTTCCCAATATAATTCTGATGTATATGATAACCATATAATAAAAATATTCTGGATAGAAGCATGGAATGTTTTATTAACTGAAAACGGTTTTGTTTTCTTTCTATACTTTGGGAATGTGGGGTGAGTAGCACTAGAGGACATTATGTATTGAGTCATAATTGCAGCACTTTGTTCAGATTAACAGAACAGAAATATAGAGCTGTTTGCCAGTAAAACTAATGGTTTCAATTAAACATGCTATGTATCTCCAAGAATCCTTTTTTTTTTTTTTTTTTTTTTTTTTTCTTCCTAAGATGTCATTATCATGCTAGCTGCCTATTTAAATAAAACACAAACTAAAATCTAAACACAAACTGCAAGGCTTCCTCTAAATAAAAGTCAATCTTACCATCTTTGTCTTCCAGTGAATCTGACTTTATTAGAATAATCTGTCTCTAATGATAAATATTTGCAAAATCTTGGCATGTGAAATTTGATAGATCTACCATCTGGTTTCAGCCCACTGTTACTGCTGTTAGGAATTTTACAGGATTTTGCAGAAAATCCCCAACATACTCTGTGTGGTGGTGGTGGTGGTGAGGCAGGATCTGAGGCTTGCAGTGGCATTCAGTGTCTCGGATACAAAAGAGCCAAACCTTCCCAACGAGAAACGTTTCAGTGCTCTCTCTAGAACAGGAGGAACACGAACTTGGGCTTTATGCTTTCCTTGGCATTGCAACACCAGATCAATCTGTCTGGCACGTGGCTAGGGCAAACACTACAAATGGGCACACTGTGGATGTAACTGAGTAAGAATTTGGTTCAGATCACAGCATTGTTACTTTCACAGGTGTGGAGAAGGGGCAATATGTACCATTTTCTATCCATATTCTCAGTATTCTGCCTCTTAAGAGGTAAAGGCAAACTAATGAAGGTGTGTAGGAAGAAGAAAGATAGGAAAGCTCAAAGAAATGAATGAATCTGTTATATCAATGGTGAGCTGTGGAAAAAAAAATTTTTTTTTTGAGTTGTAATCCAGCTTTCTTCTAGAGAGGTGTGAAATTCCAGTTTGCTAGGTGTTGCAGGAAGCACGGCCGAAAGCACGACAGACACCAGTAGAGTCAGATCATGCTCCATTTTATTGCCCGAATAGCTTAACTTTTATAGAGAACTTAACAGGGGTGGACAGTGTTTCACACAAGATTATTGGTCAAAAGCACTCAGACAAACAACTGTAAGAAAACAACCCCACCTGCAAGAAAACAACCCCCTTGTGATTAGCAGTCACATAGACCTTGTCCTTGAAGCCAGCTACTGGTAACAATATTTTTCTGAGTTCCTCAATTGGGCGATGTGGGAACACTGTCATGGGAACTTCTCATAGTTGCCCTGGTAGCTTGGTTTGCTCAGCTACAGCAAGCCATGGGATTTTTGCTGTTTCAAGAAATCTCTCAACAGCTAGGCCCATTGTAGCATTTGAGAAAAGCGTTTTGGACAATTTGTAGCCACAGGTGTACATAGGATGTGATGGCTTACAGAACTTCTAAAGTATACCCCAAATACATAATTATATTTCAGTGATATATACAGAAATATGCAAGGTATGATACGTGCTAAAGGACAATTGTTGTTTAGACAATGCAATGTTAGGTGTTTCTTGTTTCTTTTTTATTTTATTTTTTCCGTTTCTGTTATTGGACTGCTTATACCACATATATAGTAAGATATTTTAGCTAACAGACAATGGAATCTTGCTTTTTTATTAATGCACAAAACCAGGCTCTGAAATAATTGCCCCTTGGGATAGGAAATAAGGATGTTTCCATTTATTCCTGTGTGCATTCAAGCAAAGCCAGTCAATTGTCTAATGTACTGACTTGGGTTCTATTTATATGTTTGGAACACTAGAAATACTGAGTTTCCATTACCTTAATGCTTTTCCTCTACTGTATGTTTTAGATGGTACATTATTTTGAGACTCAACTACCTCAAACGCTATGCCAGTAATATGAAAGGACAATGTCTACTGCTCCATTCACAGCTAAACTCTGACCTGAACTTGTCTGTCATCTGAAATGATTAATCTGAGGAACGTGTAATAGGTTAGTAACTTCTTGGGAAAGCTAAAAAGTAGTTAGCTGAACACACAGAAAGTGTTTTGTTTTGTTCTCCCTTGATCTTCAAATCTCTGCTTGGTACTGCTTTTACCAGGCTGTTCCTGAGTTGGCTAAAACAAAAAGGCTGAATGCAGCACTCTGCTGAGTTAAGCTTTTCATTTCCTTTGAAAACTGAATATCTAAATGACTTTGATGCCTCATCTCGTCCCTTGCCCTTCTACCAGAGAAATGATGGTTAATTTGGTATTCATGTGGGGAAATGATGTTAAACTATTAGAACTTAAAAAGCAAAAATTATGAAGTCAAAATGGTCCATTTTAAGTATTAACTTTCCGCAAAAGTATTTTGATACATACCCACAAAATAATTCAATTTATGTTGCTCAATATACAATATGTTTGTGGGAGAAAAAAAAAAAAAATTAATCAGCTCTTGCCTGTCCAGCAGCAGCAGCCGGGAATCTGCAGGATGTTGGGGTCTGCCCAGGCAGTGCTGGAGCTGCAGGAGGCAGTGGAGCTGCTTGCTTCCACCTGTGGCAGCCTCGCTGTAGCTGATAATTAATTATAAATATGATTATACATGGCCCCAGCTCCTGAAATCATTTGACCTCGCAGTTGTCTTGCTTTCATCTTATTTTTTTTTCTTGTTTTCATGGTTTCAGAGAGAAATAATGATGCAAAGCTACTTGTACTGAAGAAAACAAGCAGAAAGATTTTACTCCTCGGTTAATTTAGTTACTGACTTCAGTTAACTTCACTTTCAGCTCAGTTTTTGCTTTACCCTTCACTCGTTTCACTGCTGCTTGCGAACTGTTTGTCTCATCCTGCCTGCTTCAGCTGCAGCCCTACTGCTGTCTGCTCCTCTGCTCCCTCAGACCTTTTCATTACAAATAAATGCAGCAATGCATCTTGAAATGGGTCTCACTTGCTGTGAGAGCCTGGTTTATGTATTTGTTGCAGCCCTTTTCTTCTTCGTTTCTTTCTTCTGAAATTCCCAAACTACAGGGTGTGTCTGGTGACAGTCCCAGGTTTCTGTAAGGGGAACCTGGAGCCAATTTTGCCGAGTGCTCTGGGGTCCCTTTGGGAGTGTGACCCAAGGCCTGGTGGTGAGCCACAGGGAGTGCAGATGGAGCCATGCAAATGAGAATTTGCTCCTAAACCCTGGCCACAGCCAGATACACCGTGTCTTTGCAAAATCTGTGTGTTATCCAAACCATTTGTGGTCTCTTATAACATTTCTATGGTGCGTGGCTATTGCTGCTGCCTATTACCTAACGTCACACTATCCACGTAGCTGCACGGATAACCATCTCTGCAGAAATTACACTGGGCCTATCCTGGAACCGTATAATTAAATTATTAAATCCTGTTCTGTACCATTGGCTGCCTTCTCCTTTCATTTTCACTTTCAGAGGGTTATATAAATAAGCTTTCTCCCAGTTTCTGATACCGTTTTTGCATTTATTGGATGTTCTTGCATGTCTTACACGGATGTTCCAGATGGTTTCCATGGGCCGTTATTGTGTAAGGTCTGGCCACAAATATTCTATTTTTTCTCTCTGTTAGCTAAACAACCCTTTTTAACCCTTTTGTGAGGGCCTTGCTCACAGGCTCCTACTGGTCTGTGACACATTCTCTGAACTCCAATGGATCTATATTTTTGCCCGTGATTTTAAATTCCAACCACGTAATCATATTGGCGCTTACTTCCTCTGCCACGAAATTCAAATTCTTGTTTACCAATAGCTCAGAAAGTTCAGAGATCTGCAATACATGAGATAACAGAATTAATTTTTTAGATGAGCTTTAGAGTTTGTATTTCCAGGTCAAATAGCCTAAAACTAAGGGAAAAGAAGCAGCTTAAAGTGTCTGTACATGATAGTGCTGTACTGATACCAAGTGGGGCTCAATGATGTAGTTCTTCAGCTGATCGTTGTAATCCAAACCAGATTCCTAGTTAAAGAGTTCTTCAATAACATCAGAAAGTGGCCTAAAATGATGCCAGCACCCCTGATATACACAAATGTGCTAAACAGAAAGGATGGAAACTGTGTTTGCAATTCTCTGGTGTGAGGGTGCCTATCTGGGAGCAGAGCCACCTTTGCCCAGTCCTCATCCTGTCCTTCCTCCTGTGCATCACATCAACTCCAAAGAGAAAGAAAGGAAATAAAGAAACAAAACCAAACAAACCAGAACAAAACATGAGCCATGCAGGCTTTGAGGCATACTGGGTGAAATGGAAATTTTGCCCGTTGTAAGGTAATAAGATGCCCTTTACATTGTGTCAGGCTGTTGCACCTCTGCTTGCTGCTGGAAGTCTACAGACCTGAAACAGCCACGAGGGGTGAAGAAGAGACCTGCACCCGTGGGCCATGCTGCCAGGGCTGCAGGTATGGGGTCATCTTCAGCCACCGCTCCCTTCTGTCTGCTGGAGGACAGAGGGGCAGGGGCAGAGCACAGCCCGTGCCCTGGTGCAGCCTGGTGCTGGAGTTGAGCTGGGTGCTGGACTGTGAGCCGGAGCAGGCTGGGATGGAGGCGCACGTGGTTTTGGCTGTACAAGAGAAATGGTAATTAACCTCCAGCACAGGGGCAGGGCAGGTAGCTCGGGCCAGTAATTTTCTCCAACTCGTGCTGCAAAATTTACCTGAGCTCATTTGTCAAGCTTTGAATCCTTAAATCTATAACTCTAATTAATTAGGAATCTCTAATTACCCCAAAATGGTACTTTATATTTAAGGCTAAGGTGTGGCGAAACCCAGAGAAAACATGAGAGAAGCTGGAGGATGTTCAGGACTGGAGATGCCAGGAAAAGGTGCGTTTTCTGAGATCAAGGTGCACGTAGGTGCAAGGGAAGCCAGATGGCTCGATGCGTCAGTGAGACCCAGGGCAGGTCCTGAACTGCCAGAAGTCACTGTCCAATATTCGGACATGTCTCCTTGGGTGTCTTATAAGGGCTCATTTCTCAGAAAGTAATGGCCACCAAACCCCTTAGCAGAGGGGCCTTGCATTGGAGATCCAAAATCAAGCAGCCTTTAGGACTCAAACCCTGGGTTGGGTTTAACACAGAAGCACGTTGGACAAGGCTTTGGTGCTTTACAGCTTCAAGCAAGAAACCCCAGTGGGGATATTATTGAAAACATCAGTGCAGACAGGTTCTGGCCCTGCCCTCATAAGAGGAAAAAGCCCTTTCACAGTTAAGGTCTTATTATATTAAGTTAAAAATTTATAGCTTTTAACTAGGCTGTAACCAGTTAATGTGACTCAGGCAAGGGTGTAATGTGAATGGAGGCATTACTTAGAGCCACCGTTTTGCCTTACTGCAGAGATTACAGTTTTCCAGACCTCACATGTGAGAGGAGCCCAGCTAAAGCACGTTTAGGAACTAGGCTATGAGGTCATCTGATTAAATGAGGGGAATCAGCTGGGTTTGGGGCTTATTGACTTCAGCAGTGCTGCAGCCAAGAGCCTGAAACGTTTATTTCTGAGTATTCTTAGGCTGAGCTCCTTCCTTAGAGTTTACGAGCACCACTGCTTCAGCAAAGGTAACTTCTCAAGTCTGCTGTGGGTGTCTGGTAACAGGGTGCATTGTACAGTGGCTGTAGGCAGGGTGCATCTGCATGTGTATGAGGTTGTTGGGATGATGGAGGAGGAGGAAGATTATGTATGCTTCTAGATAAGTGGTAGGGTCTCCTTTTCAGAGCCTCAAGTACTGTTTTCTAGTTCCAATAGTACGAAATCTTTGTATTGCCCCAGTAAATAAACAGCTGTAGTTAGTGGCTTTGTCTGGTGGAAGATAAAAGTTGATAAGATCCTGGTAAGGCTGTTTTGAGGTGCCTTTGTTAGCTTCACTGCAGTGTTTCCAGGGATTCATTCCAGAAAGAAACTGCTAGTCCAGGGAAAGAAATTAGAGTGATCTTTGCTAACGTTTTAAGTAAAAACAATCTCTGCCTGATACTTTTGAGTGTTTGATGCTGATGTTAAAGAGCAACAGCATTACAGCTTAAATAATTTTTTTTTCCTTTTAATTTGCTGGCAAGGTATTGGGTAATAAATTGCATCAGAAGGGCTAAGATGAAAATGAGTTGTTGAGTGCTGGTTAAAATGTAGGTCTGAGGGTGAGAGAAACGTGTGAAATCAGCTATGAGATTTCCTTTCCATTCACTTTCCCCAGGTAGCTCAAGATGTGAGCACAAAAAGGCAATTGTGATCAGCTGTTCGTTCTCCCTTGTTGCTTTCCTAAAAACCTCAAGGTTTTCCCCCTGGACTTGCGATGCATGGGGATGCTCTGAGCTCTGTGCGCAGACCTGGGGTTCACCTCGGTCTCCACGTGCTCTGCTGCAGAGTGGCCGGGCTGTGCTGAGGCACCCGTGGGTGCTGACTCACAGCGGCAGGGGCCACCTACTGAAGCACCGCCCGGCCCTCGGCAGCACCTGGCTCGCTCCGGAGGTCTCGCAGCCAGTGCCGAGCAGGCCCCGGCCTGTTCGGGCTGGGAGATCTAACGAGATCACAGCCGGGGCCAGGGGTGATATGGCCGCAGGCCATCATCTTACATAAAACCCATAAATTTGCATAATGTGTTTTACAAGATTAAAACTGAAGAAACTTTTTTTTTTTTTTCTCATTTTGCATAAAAGGGAAGAAAATAGGTGAAAGAGCTCTACAAAATGGGCTATCGGAGACCTGGGGCTTCCAAAACGACAGTGTCGGTAGCTGGGTTTGTAACTATTTCAAGAGTGACTATCTAAATGGGAAATCTGTCGTGGTGTGCGTGTTCTTGGGCAAAACCAAAACTCAGGGGTAGAACCATAAACACACAGCGAGTATCAGACCAATGGCCTGAGAACTCATCCCTTTGAAAGAGCTGTTTCTCCAAACCTGTTGGATGCTGCACGTAGGAGAAAACCCTCCTTCCGCAGCAGGGCTGTGGCGTGGAGAGGGTTGCCAAAGCTTGTTGAGTCACAAAACTGAGGCGTTCTTACTTTGCCTAATTGCTGTGGGTGACTTGGATGCTAATGCAGAGGTCAGTAAATGGCCTGTGATCTACAGAAATGCACCCTACTTGCAAGCTTGGCCAGTGCTGGCTCGCTGTGAGTGGATTTCATGCAAAAGGCTGCCACACGCAGTAGGCTGTTGATGACTTGTTGCTTGGCTGTACGTGCCTCCTGTGTTGGGCTCACTCCTTCGTGTAGGGGCTAATCCTGCAAGTCTTCTTTGGTGGAGAAAACACCTGAGGTGGGGGGGGGGGCGGGAAGAGAGAGAATTCCCAGAAAACTGTGGCGCTTGGACCTTGTTTCTGCATTGTCACATACATCAGGAAATGTTGGCTGGTGCTTGTGAAAGTTTCACAAACATCCCAGAGTGTAGCTATGGCCATGGACCTCATCAGCCACAGCAGTAGTATCCAAAAGAAGAGCAGGGAAATTCACTACTTTGGGGAGGACAGAAGGCAAAGCTGTGCTTCAAACCATCTCTCCTGGCCAGGAGTAAATGTGGGCTTGGAAATTAAAGGATCAGTTCCCCTAAACTTGTGAAACTTGGGCAGGTGGGACTCCTGGGCTGGTGTCTAGCTTCTTTGGGAACAGGGACAATTGGGCTGGGCAGTGGAATTCAGTTTTTTCCTCCAGTTTTGAGGAGTGTGAATGGTCATATGGTGCAAAGTGCCATGGATAGGGAATCGATACTGCCAGTTTAGTATTCCCAATACTAACTTTTAACTTTGGTGCTGGTTTGGGGAGAATTTTTGTTTCTTCTCCTTCATCCACTTTTGCATCTCTTATGAAATGAGCCTCATAAAATTACTAGTGTATGTGTTTGAAACCTACTCTATTGCACCAGTGTGCAAACTTAAAAATGGGAGGGGAAAAAAGGAAATAAACATGTTGGAAGAAATGTCTGTGTGGAGGAGTAGCTCTGTGTCTGTGCTAATGTGGCTAACTTAATTCACAAAACTCTTCTGCTTCCTTCCTCCCCTTCTTCCCTAGGGTTTCTGTCCCTGCCGTTTAAGGTGTGTCCCTGCACAGATCCCAAGATCACACTGCTGTTGTCAGAAAGATCCAAGAAAAGTAGACTCCTCTTGTGGTTCCTACGTGCAGTTCCTTGAACCCTAAATACAGTCTGGATCAGTGTGTGTTTAGGGGGTGTCAACCAAAGTTATGCTCTGGAGGAAATACGGAAATGCTTTATTAAGTGATGTGTTGGAGCTGGGATGTTGTGGAATATCCTCTCTAGGGAGTTTAATAATAACTCGTTTTATAATAACGAGTCAAATAAATCAGTCTGTGCTACTGCTGGGTATGTGAGCTGAGTCCTGCAGCTGATGATTTTATGCCTGGCTGCTAAAAGTCTTTTAAATGACTCGTGTCCTGCAATTACTTCTGAAGCTTGAAAGACCATTATATGCAGGCAACTTTGGGACTGTGTCCCAAGTACTTGTAGATAACAGAATTTATGCCCAGTTTATCTAAAAGCAGTTTGAAGGGAAGAAAGTACTTGTGTTTGAGGAGGAAACATGAAAACTCATGAAGTCTGAACTGGGTGAATAATGGAAAACTAAACCTTTCTCTCTGAAAGGAGAGTGTTTCATTTGGCATGTGTTAAGTGACCTTCATGATATGTGGGAAAGGTACCAAAGAATGGGCATCCTCTCAAAAAATATGCACTAAAAAAGGAATGTGTGTGTGTGTGGGGGGAATTAAAACACCTGAAACCCAGGCTTTCTTCCGTTAAAATCTGGACTCGAGGACAGGTAGCAAATTGCATTCCTGGGGAGGGAAGAAGCTGAGGGTAAAATGCACAACTGCTTTTCCAGACTGTGTCGAACACAGCCTAGTTCCAGTGGTGCTATTGCAGGACTTGCTGAGGGGAGACTTTCCACAGTGTTTTCTAGCACACAAGGAGCATGTGAACATTTATGGTGAGTCACTGCTGGGCTAAAATATTGCCTAGTGATGCCATTGTGATGAACCATTTTGTAAGCCTCTGTAGTATAAGAGGTTATTCTTCCTGTTACTCCTCTTAGCAGCACTAACTTGTTGTGACAGTGATGTTGCTGGCTGCTGCTATTAATCCAGTCTTCTTGGAGATGTAAAAATCATGCTGTATCTGGGGCAAGAAGGGCAGCCAGATTAATCCTTGTGTTATAATGATCTTTTCTGAGTCACGTCATAATATGATAGCTCCTGTGTTCAAGGGTTACAAACTGTGGAGGGATATGACTGGGAGCCCCTTTTTTGTTGCAGTCCAGTGCTGGACCACATCACCTTATTACACAAGAGGTCATTTGTCTCACTACACCTCTGATTTTTCCATGTAGTCATGCATTTCTGATCCATGCTTCAACTTCCTGCCTCATCAATGCAGCCCTTATCCTACTCCTAGCATCTCTGCAGTATTACTTAAGCACAGCTGCTCATCCTGAGAGATGTAGACTGGGTAAAATGCTGACTTTCTTGGGGTGTTTTGTGTTAAGGGGTACGAGGTCCCAGCTGGAAGCTTGTGCCTCATTCTTGCTCCCCCAGCACCGGTGGAGCCAAGATGCTCTCTCAAATACGCTGCTCCACACTCTGTCCTGGTCTAAATTTCATTCTCCGTCTTTGTTGAGAGAAAGTGGCCATATGTGCAGCAGGCAGGTGTCCTGCCTCCTCTCCTTGAAGCACCAGTAGAGTTTCCCATGTGCCACAACTGCGAGCTCATTAACAAAGGCCCCCCATGAGATCTGCGGACAAGGGGTGTGGGCTGCCTTGCACAGATTGCTCTGCATATGATTATTTCCATCCCCCTCTCCATCAAAACAGCCACTCTTTCTGCATGAGCTGCTCATCCAGTGTTGAGATCAGAGGGCATTCCGGGGAGCATGTAGGGACTCTCCTGTTGCAAGCCCATGCGTATGTACCTGTGTGTACATGCAGCCTGACACTCAGAAGAGGTGGGGGTGGTGGGTTTAATAGCTTCTCATACACCAATATTTCACTTCCAGTTTGAGAGATTCTTTCACTGGAGAGACCCTGGCTTCCTTTATAGCTTCTCAAAGTCTATCTTTCACTCATTGTATTGGTTTAAAAGCCTGGGTGTTGGCAGTGGGGCTGCAGGTCTCTCTGTGAGGAGAGGCCTGGGTTGGTTCCAGCCAGCTCCAAGAGCCCCACCACAGGGCACTGTCAGTAGTGCTGGGGGTACCTCTGTGAGAATATAGGCAGGAAAGGGCAAAATGCTGCCCGGGTATAAGGTGAAAAGGGTCAAAAACAGCCCTGTGAAGGCTAAGGCCAGAGAAGGAGACGCAGAGGTGGTGTTCTGGGTGTTGGAGCAGGTGTTTCCCTGTGGAAACAGCCAGTGGAGGACTGCACACCACAGCTGGTGGATGTTTCCTGAAGGAGCTGCGGTCTGTGGGAAGGAGCCATGGTGGAGCAGGCAAAAAATGTGAGGAGAGAGGAGTTGTCTGCACTCCCTGCCTCCCTTGGGGAGGTAGAGGAGTTGGGAATGAAGCACCGAAGTTGAGCCTGGGAAGAAGGTGGAGGAGAGAGAAGTGTTCTGGCTTTTGCCTTGGTTTCTCACCACCTAAATCGATTTTAATTGGCAATACATTAGTTTTCCCCAAAACAAGTCTCTTTGGCCCCTAAAAGTAACTGGTAAGAGAGCTCCCTGTCTTTGTGTTGACCCCTGACTTCACTTTATTTTTTCTTCCTGCCCTGTTGGTGAGGGGGAGTTACAGAGCGGCAGGGTGAGCGGTGGGCTGTGCTCCAAGGCCAGCGCACCACGCTTCGGTGTGGTGCTGCTCTCACACATTGCTTATGATATGTCCCTGATCCTTTCCATCGCAGACTTCCCTTCTGCTGCAGACGTGATCTGCACAGACCCATCAGGAACTCACTGGGTCAGCTTTTCAGTCAGTCACTGGGGAATATCACAGCTGAGATGGCCAGGATTGGGGTTTGGGGCCATGAGGCCTACAAAGGCCACTAGCCTTTGTAACTGACAGGCTCAGTACAGACTTTCTCAAAACCATGAGCAACATAATTAGAAATTTTTCAATAGCTAAATTAGTGTGTGCAAAAATACTAATGCTAACTAAGGACTTGTGTTTGTGGTTATAATGGCTTCATATGCAACTGCAGAAACTGCAGCTAATGTACACCGCACCCCCAGCTCTGCATGCACAGGTCTGAATACTTGGATTCATTCTTAAGATGTGCATAAAACTCATTCCCCAGCACTTGGTTTTACTGTAACTGACAAAGCTGTTTGACTCGAGCAGTTCTGAGAAGCATTTCAGAAATCTAATGCTTAAGATTTCACTGTGGATTTTTGGCTTCAAAGTGATTTTGTTATGTCCCTAGAGCCTGGTTAAATCCTTAGTTATAATGATTGCACACTGAAGGGTGCTGTTACATAGAAATGCTGTCCCATAATGGCTTCGTTGCTGTGGAAAATCCGATGTTATTTGGTCATTCGCTACGAGTTCCCTAAGCCATCAAGACATTTGCCTCAAGGCTACAAACACAAAGCTACAGGCAAAACCCTCTGGACATAATGAGTGGGCATTTATGCAGAACTAAAAACTGGAACAGCTGAGCAGTAGATCTATGAATAGCAAGCATGCCTCTAAGCACAAAAGACATCATTCTGGAATAAAGGGGTTTATAATGGTTCTGACATCTTGTATGTCAAGATCATGCTACGTTGTTGTAACTTTTTTTTTTATGTTTGTTTGTTTGAATCACGTTCCTTAAGTAAGGTTTGAGTAATTAAAGGGTGTGAAGGAAACCCTATAGCTTCAGTAAGAACAAAAATTGGGCAACTGACACTTTTGGCAAGATCCATCATTTTGATCATGTTTGCTAGGGAATGAGCTTATTGCTCCTGTGCTGTTAGTATCCCCAGTTCCACCCTTCAGGATTTCTTAGGGGTTTTTCCTTGTATCAGCAGCTCTTAAAAGGCTTGATTCTAATATTAGCTGAGAAGTGTCTTCTGATGGAAACACAAGGGTTGGGCTAACCATAAACTACAGGGTCAGGGAGTCAGGCAATACAAAAGAGGGTAATAAAATTCAGAGTGATTGGGATCAACAGGGAGCTGGAGGAGCTTAATGTTGAGAAATGTACTGCAGTGAGGTCACGAGCCTTTGCGAATCATTTATATGTGCTTCTAACTACCTGGCAAGAACAAGATGGAAAGGGATGTATGGATCTTGCACCAGGAGCATAATGAAAGCCCAAAAAGGGTAGAAAGTATAGTGGCAGATGGGATATGGAATTAGTCTAGAAGGGGGGAAAAAAGTGAAAGGGAATATAAGAATACATGAGGATGATAAATTTGCGTTGTATGTCTGCATTCATGTGTCTGATCAGTTTTTGAGAGATTACTGATTTCCAAGGCAGTCTCTTTTGGCTAAATTAGCAGTCCTCATGCCAATTTACTGTGGGACTGGGGGATGGGTGAGCAACCCTTTGTGACTGGGAAAATGTACAAGTTCAAACAAGTTTTGCAATCCTTGCAAAGTAGCTTGGGCCTTGCAAAACCATCGGTTGTAGAGATGAGCAAAGCCCTAATACTGTGAAGTTCCTACAGGGAAACGTGGCCAGAGGATTAGACACTAATCTCTGACCTGAGAAGATGTGATGAATGTCTATGCTGTCAATGGTACTGCAGCACAAAGATAGCTGAGCTGGTTATGACTAGTTTTTGGCAGAATAACCTAGCTCTGCACTTAGGGGTATGGGAAGCAAATTTCCATTTCACCAGCAGAGTAAATTAACCCATGCAGAGATCAAGTCTAGAGAGTCAAGAAAGCAGAAAATCTTGGCAGAAAATGGTAGCCTACAATGTAGCTGTACACCCTGTTTCCTCATGTCCAAATTTCTTAGGTGGCCACAAGCAAATTATTTGCCCTCTTGGCATGTACACTTCTTATAAAGGAAAACAAAGCATCATGCCTATTTTGTGTGCTTACCCTGAAGAACAGTGCATGTTGATCTACAAAATGCTCAGATATGGAAGGATGTTATGTAGGTTGCTTAGAAAGATGAAGGGATTAATTTTCTTGTTATTCCTTCATCTTCTTCCTCACAGCTATAACCAACAACTCTTTCTGCCTGGGAATGGACTCATAAGGCCCAGTTGGGAGAATGACAGCTCTGCCCTACTGGTAAGTGATGGCTCTGTAGTACTACAGAAAGGCAAATTGATAGAGTGGCATGGAAGAACAGGGATGGAACCATTCTCATTATAACATGCTAAATGGAAAACAAGGATTTATTCGTTAAAGTGATATCCACTTCAGTTGCATGTGGGCAAGAAATTTCTTGGTGTCATCAGAAACCTTGCAGTGTACATTCCTGCTACAAGTATGGCACTCTGGTTGTGGAGCTGGGTTTTGTTCTACTGTACGTGTGCCTATTGTATTTCAAGAAAAGAGTTGTTTTTCCCCTCTGGAAAACATCTTTTAATAATACAAATTTTAGGATTTTTTTTTTCTCTCTTCCCCCTCCCTACCACTTTTTCTTCTCTCTCTCTCTCGTGTGCCAGAACAGCACCAATGACAATGCATGGCCTCTGCACTGCCTTTGACTCTTCCCCAGGAAGGAGTCTCTCTCAGAGAGAGCCCAGAAGTTGTGTGTGTGTTTTATTTATTAATGAGTGAGGAGTTTGTGACTGAGTGTTTGGAGAAGAGATGATTTGGCAAGGGAGATATTGGCTGATGGGGGACTGAAACCTGCCTCAGTTATTTGGATCTTCAGTCTCTTTTGTTTGACTGGAGATGTGTATTTTTGGCTGCTAAGTCTACATCTAACTATAAAGTAGAAAAATAGGGCATTAAAATACCTGTGGTTTTGTGTACCAGGAAGTAAATGCTAAAACATGATATGTAAAAATACAAAGACTGATGTTTGTGCATGCCAGGGGTCCTTCCTTCTCCATTGATTTCTTAGCACCGAGAAGAAGGAGGATGGCAGTCCTCTCATGCTGTGGGTATATATCATCCATCACTGAAAGCCCCTCAAAAGCAACTGAAGAAATTGCATGAGAGGCAGTAAATTCTTTCATATATGTGTAGAGAAAAGAGAGATTGTAGTCTGGTCTTCAGTCCCACATCTACAGCATATTTCTCTTGACTGACTGAGATCTGACTCTACTTTTGCCACTTCAAGTGGGTTTGCCTGTAAATTCACCTAGAAGCTGTTGGAAAAGTAGGAGAGCCACTGCTTTCTCACATAATGAAACTCTTCCAAGTAGTCAAAGATTTCTCCTGTTCATGTAACATCTCCCTTATCAGCTCTCTCATGTACAAACTGCATAATAACAACAAAGCTTGAACAGCACTGCAAGCTTATTTGCTTTGTGATTTGTGGTCAGATCATTGCATTTCAGCATTTACCGATGAAAGGAAATTACTAACAAGACGCTGATATTTACATTAATTGTGGCTTTGGGGAGATAGTCCAAAGAAAATTATACTAAAGCCAGCTATTATGTGTCTCCCTAACAATTAGAATGAAACCCAAAGTTTATAAAGCAAAAGTTGATCTCAAACACATTTTAGTTGCTACTTGATATTTTCCCTTTCAACAGGGTGAGGGGAGAAAAAAAAGAATTCCCTCCTTTTTCTAAAGCAATGTAAAGAACGCTTTTTGAAAGAGCATGTATGCTAATGCAAGAGAAATGCCTCGTTTCCACTGAGCAATATTGATCTCTGCTTCCAAGGAAGCCTAGAGAAACAGGCCAGTTTTCACATGATACATACTAAATGGCAGGGTTTTCTCAGTTAAAGCCAACAATTTTCATTATTATTTTTTTTCATCTCTTGTGCAGCTCTGTAGGTTAAACAGGTTTGGCTCCAAAATCTCCAAGATGCTCCAAGTATACTTCATGCATGTCCCACTAGATAGTCCTAAGAACAAACTTCTACATCAGTTGAACAATTTCTGGACACAAATTCAGTGCTCTTTGCAATGTTTGATGTATGATGAACACTAATTTAGGTTTCTTAAGATGACTCATGTGCCAGCATAGTAGATCCAAGAAACAAACACAGATGTGAGATTTAAATTCTCCTTTGGCATAAAGTACTGCCAGGACTCCTCATGCTCTGAACCACAAACTATCTCCAATGGAGACTAGTAACAGTTTCTTTGTGCGACTCAACTAATGGGGTAGCTTCTGACTTTAAGTGATCAGGGATATAAATGCACCTTCCACTAGGTGTTTGTGTAAATGTCCCCACTAACTGTGGGATTTGTCTCATGAAACTCTAGATGTCCACCCCAGCTTTCTGCGGAGGTTCCATTCATAGTGGAGAAATACAGGCACTTCTCAAGAGTGATTTGTCTGACTTCCCATCACCATCTATTTTAAGAACGTGTCTGAAGTAAAATGAAATTAAGACCTTCCCCAAAATTTTTCTGCAAGAAGAGGGATTTTGGATGTTGTGGGGAGGCATTCTTGGCTCTCTTTCCTCGGATGACCCCATTACCAGATGTTACCTTCACATCACTCCACAAGTCCTAAGCAGATCCAGGCACAGGAATGTGTGTTCTGGCACGAGTCAGCATGGGGCGGGCATGTAAATGTGTTTGTGCTGACCTTGCTTTGGGGTTATTCTGCTCACCCCTCCACTCATCCAAGTCAAAAGTGGACAGCACTGCTTGATATGTGTCTGGCCATAAAAAGGCTGCAGACTAAAAGTGTAACTGGTTTTAATTATTAAGGTGTAATTTAGGTCTTCATGTTTATAGGATAATTGTTTCTTTTTTAATATAATTTAAACTTTGCAATACAAGAAACAGGCCTGAACCTGTGGATGGAGTGTTGGAAACTGTCTAAGAAGATTAAGGTCTCTTAATTGATTTCACATAAACAGGTGTGACTGAATTCATCAGAAGAAGGTTAAGACTAAATGCATTCTGCTAATTATGCGAAAATTGCCACAGTGGGTGCTCAGTTGAGCAATTGCATTCCCTTTCCACGTGGGATCAGTTCTCAACTATATGTCAAATGGGAAAATTGTCATTTCCTAAGCAAATGAACCAGCCTGTTGTACACAGTTTTATTTTTAAAGTCTACTTTGCTCGTAGATGACAGTGGTGGATTTGGCAACAGGACATGGGAATGTCCCTTGTGAGCTGTGCTGCGTTTGGTGTGGGAGGACAGGCGTCAAAGCAGGGCTGTGTCATTTTCTAAACTTCAGGAATCCCCATTCATGAAAATCCCTGCTTTAGGAAACTGAGAGACTAACTCTAACACATGCTATTTGCTCTTCATATTTACTTATATGACTTAAGTCATTATTTTTTTTTTGTTGAAACTTAACTGTAAGCTTTGGAGATGCATAACATGGATACAGGACACATTGGTGCACAGGACAACCTTTGTCTTGAGCTTCAAAATAACAAATGGACTATATAACGCTTCATACAGCTAACAAGCATACTTATTTGTTCTTACTCTGCACTCCTTACTGTCATCTTAATCTAAAATCTCAAGAGAATGAGAAAGAATGGATGTGTTGGCCATAGTTGTAGACAGCCTAAAAGCTCTGTTTTTGAGATATCCATCTCAAAGACCACTTGACTGTGACAGTAAATTGTGTGACAAAGTACAAGTACCACAGCACAGCATCACGAAGGCCCTGCAATTACTCGGTGGTGCTCCTTACAAAACCATTTGCTGATGAAACAATTCTTTAAGTCTCCAAATTGAAGGATGACGAGTATGTAAGGCGTGTTTTCAGAGACAAATTTGCACATAGATGGTGATCTAAAATTAGTTGCTTACACCACTGTTTTGTAATAGCAAAGATAATGTTTGTAACATTGCAAATTAATTTAGAAAATTGTATCCCACTTATATTAGTCTTGCTCTTAAATTTGAGAGCCAAATAGTTATATCAACCAGCAGTGACTTATTAGCACTCTAATTTTACTCAAGTTAAAGTGAAACAACTACAGAGTAATACAGAAAAAAAAGTTAATAGTTGTGCTATATTAAAAACAAACAAAAAATAAATTGCATCTCTATAGAGCATTTGGAAACCATCTTCTAAGAGCAGATGCATATTTTTATATTTATTAGTAAAGATGTTCATTCAGTCAGAATTTCAGCTTAATCTTTGAAGACAATGTTCTCTAAAGTATGAGTTTTATTCTCAAGGAATCTCAGCAGGAAAATCTGTGAGTGTCAGAGTTCTGAAAAAGATGCACTGGCTCACCTGCTGGACATAATTGGTGTTATGCTATTGTCAAAAATAAAAAAGCTAAACATCATAAATGGATGCAACTATGCAGAAGAGATCAGAGGTTATCTTTGTCTGTGCTTGGTAGTGGTAAAGCAAAGTAAGATTAACCAGATTAAGATTAACCTGCATTTAGGAAAAGGTGTGGACCAAATGAAGAGCTTCTAGAGAGGAAGGAAAAATAAGAGATTTGGGACTTGGAAAGTAAAAAAGAAAGATTGAACTTGAGTTTGTGTTGCTTGCAGACAAGGAAGGCCAGGAAAGCATTATAAACCTTCAGAAAGAAGAGAATTTGTTCTTTGTATCCATGTATCCATAAGGAGCAGTTTCTTGAATATAAAGCAGACATCAGGAAAACATTTTTAGCAGTAAGAGGATATATGTAATAAATTGTGAGCTTCAGATGAGGGGGAAAAAATAGACAAACAGCAAACTTGAATTAGGAAGGGAAGAGCTAGAGGACTGCCAGAGGTCTGTTCCAGCTGTGTTCTTCTATTGATTTTATGATTTGTTTTCTAACTGCTCTAAGCACTCTTACACCATGAGGTAGAATAAATAATTGTAAAGGATTGCAACTTCAGCTACCGAAAAATCATTCGTTACTTCAAGCAGTCCTGTCAGCTTAATTTTCCTGTCCTGGATCCCAAGTTTTCCTTTTCAAGAAGCATCTTCCTTTAAATGAAATACGGTCAAGAAGTTCTTTGTCGGTTCCCTGCCAACTTCTCTAGACAGTTACATATTTTAAAAATAAAAAATAACAAAACATACTGTTTGGGGGGAGAGGAGAGCTTAAAAATTGTCTTGAACTATGCTGATACAGAAAAAGAATGAACCCCCCTTTAAAAAAAACAAACACACACACACCCTGTTTCTGGCCATCCTCCTTCAGGCTGATTTTTGGCTGTTCTTCACAGAAA